TGGGCGCGGTGGCTCACGCCTGTAATCCCTGCACTTTGGGAGGCCGAGGCAGGCGGATCACGAGGTCAGGAGATCGAGACCATCCTGGCTAACAGGGTGAAACCCCATCTCTACTAAAATACAAAAAATTAGCCGGGCGCGGTGGTGGGCGCCTGTAGTCCCAGCTACTCCGGAGGCTGAGGCAGGAGAATGGCGTGAACCCGGGAGGCGGAGCTTGCAGTGAGCCGAGATGGTGCCACTGCACTCCAGCCTGGGCGACAGAGTGAAGACTCCACCTCAAAAAAAAAAAAAAAAAAAAAAAAGAACAGTTTGCTGACCTCTGTCCTATGTGAATTAAAAAGGAAAATCAGATCAAAGAATATTCAGTATCATGTTCATGGATCTGTGGATATGTGTGCAACAGTGGAAAACAGAGGCCAGGCATGGTGGCTCATGCCTGTAATCCCAGCACTTTGGGAGGCCAAGGCAGGCAGATACTTGAGGCCAGGAGTTCGAGACCAGCCTGGCCCACATGGTGAAACCCCGTCTCTACTAAAAATACAAAAATTAGCCGGATGTGGCGGCACACAGCTGTAATCCCAGCTACACAGGAGGCTGAAGTAGGAGAATTGCTTGAACCTAGGAGGTGGAGGTTGCAGTGAGCCAAGATCGCGCCACTTCACTCCAGCCTGGGCTACAGAGTGAGACTCTGTCTCCAAAAGGAAAAAAAAAAAAGTGGAAAACAGAATGGATAGGCTTGTAGGTGGAGGCTTCTAGGGGAGGTGGTGGAGAGGGAAAATAGAAAAAACCTTGGACTTTTACTGGAATATTATATTTCTTTCTTTTTTAAAAAAATGTGTTCGGCCGGGTGTGGTGGCTCAAGCCTGTAATCCCAGCACTTTGGGAGGCCGAGACGGGCAGATCACGAGGTCAGGAGATCGAGACCATCCTGGCTAACACGGTGAAACCCCGTCTCTACTAAGAAATAAAAAAAAAAAAAAAAACTAGCCGGGCGAGGTGGCGGGCGCCTGTAGTCCCAGCTACTTGGGAGGCTGAGGCCGGAGAATGGCGTGAACCCGGGAGGCGGAGCTTGCAGTGAGCTGAGATCCGGCCACTGCACTCCAGCCTGGGCGACAGAGAGAGACTCCATCTCAAAAAAAAAAAAAAATGTTTTCGAGATAGGGTCTCTCTCTGTTGCCCAGGCTGGAGTGCAGTGGTGCGATCATAGCTCACTAGTCTCAACCTCTTGGGCTCCGGTGATCCTCCCATCTCAGCCTCCTGAGTAGCAGGAACTACAGGCACGTGCTGCCACGCCTGGCTCGTTTTTTCTTTATTTTTAATTTTTGTGGAGATGGGATCTCACTATGTTGCCAGGGCTGGTCTTAAACGCCTGGGCTCAAGCAATCCTCCCACCTCAGCCTCCCAATGTGCCGGGATTATAGGCATGAGCCACCGCACCCGTCCTGTTTCTTTCACTGAAGAAGGGAGGGGACAACTGCACCTCTCTGCAAGTGGCCAAATTCACCCATCTGTAGCCCTGGAAGTCTGAATGCTTCAGCCATTACCTTCTCTGAGCCTCAGTTTTCTCATCTGTAAAATGGGAACCATCAAACCCATTTTGATGGAGGAAAGGTTGTTTTAAGACATTGATCAAGCCAGGCATGGTAGCTCACGCCTATAATTCCAACACCTTGGGAAGCCAAGGCAGGAGGATTGCTTGAGGCCAGGAGTTTGAAACCAGCCTGGTCAACATAGCAAGACATCATCTCTACAAAAGAAAAAAAAATGAGATTAGCCAGGCATGGTGGCATGCACCTGCAGTCCCAGCTACTTGGGAGGCTGAGGTGGGAGGATCGCTTGAGCCCAGGAGGTCAAGGCTACAGTGATTAGTGATCACACCGCTACACTCCAGCCTGGGTGGCAGACTGAGACCCTGTCTCAAAAAAAAAAAAAAAAAAAACATTGATCAGATGATCACCAAAGCCCAGTCACAGTGACTCACGCCTGTAATCTCACCACTTTGGGGGGCCAAATTGGGACAATCTCTTAAACCTAAGAGTCAGGGACCAGTCTGGTTAACATAGTGAGATCCTGTCTCTAAAAAAAAAATGTAAAAAATAATCTACGCAGTGTTGTGTGCCTGTAGTCCCAGCTACTTGGGAGGCTGAGGCAGGAGGATTGCTTGAGGCCCAGAATGGGAGGCTGCTTTGAGCTAAGATGGCGCCACTGCACTCCAGCCTGTGTGACAGAGTGAAATCCCAGCTCTAAAAAAAAGAAAGAAAGAAAAAAAAAGGCCAGGCATGGTGGCTCACACCTGTAATCCCAACACTTTGGGAGGCCAAGGTGGGCAGATCACGAGGTCAGGAGATCGAGACCATCCTGGCTAACATGGTGAAACCCTGTCTCTACTAAAAATACAAAAAATTAGCCAGGTGTGCTGACGGGCACCTGTACTCCCAGCTACTCGGGAGGCTGAGGCAGGAGAATGGCGTGAACCCGGGAGACGGAGCTTGCAGTGAGCAGAGATCGCACCCCACTGCACTCCAGCCTGGGCGACAGAGCGAGACTCTGTCTAACAACAACAAAAAAAAAACCGGGTGCGGTGGCTCACGCCTGTAATCCCAGCACTTTGGGAGGCCGAGGCAGGCGGATCACGAGGTTAAGAGATCGAGACCATCCTGGCCAACATGGTGAAACCCTGTCTCTACTAAAAATACAAAAATTAGCCAGGTGTGGGGGCGTGCACCTGTAGTCCCAGCTACTCGGGAGGCTGAGGCAGGAGAATCACTTGAACCCGGGAGGCTGAGGTTGCAGTGAGCCAAGATTGTGCCATTGCACTCCAGCCTGGTGACTGAGTGAGACTCTGTCTCAAAAAAAATAAAAATAAAAATAAAGAGTCTGGGCGCAGTTTTGCATGCGGACAAGCACCTGAGACACTCCTTGAATTGGTAATACTGGGGATGGGAGACAGAGAGGCCAGGAGGATGTGCTTAACATTCTCTCCCCTACCAGCCCTGGAGACCCTGAAGGGTAAGACCATTTCTGTCTTCCCCGCTACTGTATTCCCAGAGCCTAGACATGCCTGGAACACAGTCAGTGCTCAATAAAATTTCTCCCTCACTGGAGAGAGGTACACAATAAGGGGAACTGTGGGAGATTTGACATCAACATAACTTCCATTGCTATCTCCCCACAAGAACTTTTAGGTAAACTTCAGCCTGGGGTCCCTGAGTCTCTTGGGGGTATTCAGGGTGTCTGTGAACTCTGATGGGGAAAAAAAATTCACATATTTATTTATTTATTTTTTGAGACGGAGTCTCGCTCTGTCACTCAGGCTGGAGTGCAGTGGCCGGATCTCAGCTCACTGCAAGCTCCACCTCCCAGGTTTACGCCATTCTTCTGCCTCAGCCTCCCGAGTAGCTGGGACTACAGGTGCCCGCCACCTCGCCCGGCTAGTTTTTTTTTTTTTTTGTATTTTTAGTAGAGACAGGGTTTCACCGTGCTAGCCAGGATGGTCTCGATCTCCTGACCTCGTGATCCGCCTGTCTCGGCCTCCCAAAGTGCTGGGATTACAGGCTTGAGCCACCGCGCCCGGCCCACATCTTTATTTTCACTGACTCTAACTGATAATTACCATTTCCTCAATTATTAATGAAGACAGCCGCAGGACCTGGGACTTTGTCCCTTTGTCCCTAATAAAAGCCACAGATACTTTCAGATTGCATTGCAACCAGAAACACAACTGACACTTGTCACCACTGCAAAATCACTGTGATTATTAGATCTTATTTATCGTGGTGATAAAAATAATGTTATAGGCCGGGTGCGGTGGCTCACACCTGTAATCCCAGCACTTTGAGAGGCTGAGATGGGAGGATTGCTTGAGCCTGGAAGTTTAAGAGCAGCCTGGGCAAGATAGGGAGACCCCTATAATAATAAGAATAATTATTATAATAAAATTAGGCCGGGCGTGGTGGCTCACGCCTGTAATCCCAGCACTTTGGGAGGCTGATGTGGGCCCATCATCTGAGGTCAAGAGTTCGAGACCAGCCTGGCCAACATGGTAAAACCCCGTCTCAACTAAAAATACAAAAATGAGCCGGATGTGGCAGCACGTGCCTGTAATCCCAGCTACTCAGGAGGCTTAGGCAAGAAAATTGCTTGAACCCAGGAGATGGAGTTTGCAGTGAGCCGAGGTCGCACCACTGCACTCCAGCCTGAGCCACAGAGTAAGACTCCATCTCAAAAAAAAAATAAAAAAAGTTGGGGGGACCCGGGCATGGAAGCTCACACCTGTAATCCCAGCATTTTGGGAGACCGAGGTGAGTGGATCACTTGAGGTCAAGAGTTTGAGACCACCCTGACCAACATGGAGAAACCCCGTCTCTACTAAAAATACAAAATTAGCCAGGCGTGGTGGCACATGTCACCTGTAGTCCCAGCTACTCGGGAAGCTGAGGCAGGAGAATCGCCTGAACCCGGGAAGGCGGAGGTTGCAGTGAGCTGAGATCGCACCACTGCACTCCAGCCTGGGCAACAAAAGTGAAACTCCGTCTCCGGGAAAAATAAAATAAAATAAAATAAATAAAATAAAATAAAATGTAAAATAAAGTAAAGTAAAGTAAAATAAAATAAAGTAAAATAAAATAAAATAAAATAAAAAATAAAATAAAATATAAAATAAAATAAAATAAAATAAATAAAAAAAAAACAGCTGCTGCATTTATTTCCTGGAAAGCACCTATCACTAACGGAGATGATCCTACTTTCCAATTGTGATTACTTTCTCATCTGGGCCCCCAGCCCAGATGACTGTGGGCTCCCCAGGGCAGATGCGAGTTCTTCTGGCCCCCTGCACACAGTAGGTGCTCACACTTGCTGAACGTGACCGCAAGGGCTGGGAAGAGAGGGCACAGGTGCGGGGCGCCCCGGGGACTTTCCCGGTGCTGCGGGGCAGGACTCCGAAACCGTGACCTCACGTCCCACACCCACCCAGGACGCGGAAGGGGCGGTGCGTTTCCTTCCAAGGGCGGGAGCCGCGGGGTGGAGCCAGCGCCCTCAGCGCGCTGAGGTCTGCGGGAACCTCCGCAGAAGTCCCGGCCCCCAGGACCCCAGGACCCCAGGACCCTAGGACCCAGTGGCGCAGCCGGCAGCCCCGGATCCCTGGTAGGTGGGGAAGCGGCGAGGACTGGCCAGAGGTGGAGAAAGTGTCGGGTGTGGAGGGTGGCCCTGCGCCCGCGCCGCTCGCCAGGACTCCAGGCCACCTGGCCTCCCTCTTAGGGCCCCGGGGAGGCCTGGCGCCGCGCGTTGGGAGGTTGACGTTCCCCTCAACCTCCAGCTCTCCTCGCTGGTGGCCCAGATCCTCCCCCACTGTCGGGATCCTCCCCAGCACCCGGGTTTCCTCCCCTACAGCCTGACCCCTCCCCCAAACCCCAGATTCCTCCCCAACACCCAGGATGCCTACCTGAAACCCCATATTCCTCCTCACCCCAAATTCCTGAGCCCCAAGCTTCCTACCTGACACCCGATATTTCAACACCCTGAATTTCTCCCTGACACCCAAAATTCCTCCCTGACGTGCAGGATCCTTCCCCAATACCCCAGATTCCTCCCAGACACCCCAAATTCCTCCGTGACACCAAGGATCCCTCTCTGACACCCTGGATTCTTCCCCAATACCCAGGATCCCTCCCCAATACCCCAGATTCCTCCCTGACACCCAGGATCCCTCCCCAACATCCCAAATTCCTTCCTGACACCCCGAATTCTTCCCTGAGACCCAGGATCCCAACCTCACACCCTATACCACCCCACACCTTCTTCCTTTCTCCCCCTCCTAACGGTTATCCAGTCACATGGGTTTCCTCACTGTTCCTCCAGCTAGCCAGACGCAATCCTGCCCCAGGGCCTTTGGGCAGGTGGCTTCACCTTCCGGGAGCTTTCCTCCCTGATCTCCACCCAGCCTCCTCCCTCAGCTCGTTCAGGTCTCAGCTCAATGTCACCTCCTGTCCCCAAAGGCCTCCCTTGACCACCATGGTCCCCTGTAGCCCCTTCCCAGCCAGTCTCTCAGAGCCACACAGCCCCCAGCTCATGGCTTTCACAGTACTTTTCATTCTCTGAAATGATCTTGGGTTATTTTCCCACTTACTGTTGGTCTCCCTGAACCAGACTAGGAGCTCTGTGAGAGCGGATGTGCTTGCCTTGATATGCAGTGGCACTTTGAACAGTTCCTGGACCTAGTAGATGCTCAATAAATGCATACGCAACGCATGAAAGACTGTATGACAGTGTGGGAGGAAGAGTGGGAGAGAAGGGCATGTTTCAGATGCAGTTAAAACATTTAAAAAGGACGAGGTGGGAGGATCGCTTGAGCCCAGGGGTTCAAGACAAGCCTGGGCAACATAGCAAGACTCCATTTCTACAAAAAAATTCAAAAAGAAAGTTAGCCAGGTGCAGTGTTTATGCCTATAATCCCAACACTTTGGGAGGCTGAGGCAGGAGGATTGCTTGAGCCCTGGAGCCTGGGTAACATAGGTGAGACCCTGTCTCTACCAAAAAGACAAAAATTAGCCAGGTGTTGTGCCACACACCTGTAGTCCCAGCTACTCAGGAGGCTGAGGTCGGAGGATTGCTTGAGCCCAGGAGTTCAAGGCTGCAGTGAGCCGTGACCCCACCACTGCACTCTAGCCTGGGTGACAGAGTGAGACCCTATCTCTAAAAAAAAATGAAATGGGGGCTGGGCACAGTGGCTCATACCTGTAATCCCAGGCAGATCACCTGAGGTCAGGAGTTTGAGACCAGCCTGGCCAACATGGTGAAACCCCGTCTCTACTAAAAATACAAAAATTAGCCGGGCGTGGTGGCGCGTGCCGTAATCCCAGCCACTCAGGAGGATGAGGCAGGAGAACTGCTTGAACCCAAGAGGCGGAGGTTGCCGTGAGCCGAGACCGTGCCACTGCACTCCAGCCTGGGTGACACAGCGAGACTCTGTCTCAAAAAAAAAAAAAAAAGAAAGAAAGAAAGAAAGAAAGAAAGAGAGAGAGAGAGAGAGAGAAAGAAAGAAAGAAAGAAAGAAAGAAAATTAAAAATCAAAATTTTTTTAAAAAAGGAAGAGGAAGAGAAAAAGTCTGTCAACATTTATTGTCACACTAACATTATTATATCAAGCTCTTGCTTCTTCCTGGGCACTGATGTAAACTTTTTAACCATATTTTTGCATCGAAGTTTCAAAACAGACTCCCATTCATCCTAAGTACCAGTTCATGTGGGTGTTATGAATGAGGAAACGGAGGCTGAGAAACAGACTGCACAAGCCGGCAGGTGGCAGAGCCAGAACGCCCCTACCCTGTGGGTGTTTTTGTCCCGCCAGGCGCCTGCTCTTCAGAGTGAGGAGTGGACTTTGTCCCAGCCATGGACAGTGAGAAATGAAACTCTCCAGGTCTCCAGAAGGTGGAGGTGGCAGCGGGCAGGGGAGGCGGGCAGGGGAAGCTGGGGCAGTCAATGAAATAGGGTTGAGTTCAGGCCCATGGGCAGAGAGAAGGAGAAGAAAGACCACGTGATTTTAGAGATTTGCCAGGCATACAGGTGGGGGTGGTCCTGCCTTGATGATTCTAAGTCTGACTGGCTTTGTTGTGTTTTCTGCAAAACTCCCCTGAGTCCTTGCCAGGAGGTTTCAGTCTTGCATGCTAATGTTCATGGAGCACACATGTGCCAGGCACTGCTTTAAGAGTCCTATACGGGCTGGGCGCAGTGGCTCATGCCTGTAATCTGAACACTCTGGGAGGCCAAGGCGGGCAGATCGATTGGGGTCAGGAGTTCGAGACCAGCCTGGTCGATGGCCTGAAACCCTGTCTCTACTAAAATTACAAAAATTAGCTGGGTGCCGTGGCTTACGCCTGTAATCCCAGCACTTTGGAAGGCTGAGGTGAGCAGATTGTCTGAGGTCAGGAGTTTGAGACCAGCCTGGCCAACGTGGCAAAACCCCATCTCTACTAAAAATACAAAAAAAGTCCAGGTGCAGTGGCTTGAAACTCCATCTCAAAAAAAAAAAAAGAAAAAAGAAAAAAAGAATGAGATTTAAATGTAACCGACATGGGCCGGATGTGGTGGCTCACACCTATAATCCCAGCACTTTGGGAGGCTGAGGCAGGAGGATCACCTGAGGTCAGGAGTTGGAGACCAGCCTGGCCAACATGATGAAACCCCGTCTCTACTAAAAATACAAAAAAAAATCTGGGCGTGGTGGCGGGTCCCTGTAATCCCAGCTACTTAGGAGGCTGAGGCAGGAGAACTGCTTGAACTCAGGAGGTAGAGGTTGTAGTGAGCTGAGATCATGCCACTGCACTCCATCCTGGGCAACAAGAGTGAAACTCCACCTCAAAAAAAAAAAAAAATTAGCTGGGCTTGGTGGCCCACAATTGTAGTTACAGCTAGTCAGGAAGCTGAGGCAGGAGAATCACTTGAACCTGAGAGGTGGAGGTTGCAGTGAGCTAAGATCGTGCCATTGTACTCCAGCCTGCGCATCAAGAGTGAAACTGCATCTCAAAAAAAAAAAAAATTAGCTGGGTGTGGTAGCCCACACCTGTAGTCCCAGCTACTTGGGAGGCTGAGGCAGGAGAATCACTTGAACCTGAGAGGTGGAGGTTGCAGTGAGCTGAGATCGAGCCACTGCACTCCAGCCTGGGTGACAGAGCAAGACTCCGTCTCAATAAATAAATAAATACAATTACAAAAGTTAGCCGTGCATGGCGGCACTCACCTGTAATCCAAGCTACTTGGGACGCTGAGGCAAGAGACTTGCTTGAACCCTGCAGGTGGAGGTTGCAGTGAGCTGAGGTTGCACTAATGCACTCTGCCCTGGGTGACAGAGCAACACCCTGTCTCAAAAAAAAAGAGTCCTGTACAAATGAACGCATTCACCCTCACAGCTACCCTAGCTGGTGCCCATTTCACACACGTGGAGACTGAGGCATTTTAAGTACCCATGGCCTGCCCCAGGGTCACAGCCTGGGTGTGACTTGAATCCCAAGGGCAAGCTTCTACCTGTTGCTCTCGCTTGCCCTGGGACTGACTCATTTCAGATGGGTGTGGGGTCAACAGGGCAGGCCTTAGCCCTCAGATGGAAGGACTTGAACTTCTCTCACTGCGGATTGTTGCCCCGTGGGAACGTGGGCCCAGTGTGGCCGGATCTTTGATTTTCCGAGAGAATCCGGAATGCCGGAGTTGTATACAAAGTCTCTGTTCAATGTTGGCAATGAATTCAAAGTAATTTGAATCTCACATTGGTTTGCCAGTGGGGTTGTCCAGAGGTCTCTGAAGTTAAATACACACACACACACACACACACACACACACACATATTTATTTATTTTTTGAGACACAGTCTCACTCTGTCGCCCAGGCTGGAGTGCAGTGGCATGATCTCGGCTCACCGCAACCTCTCACCTCCTGGGTTCAAGTGATTCTTCTGCCTCAGCCTCTGGAGTAGCTGGGATTACAGGCTCCCACTGCCACGCCTGGCTAATTTTTTGTATTTTTAGTAGAGACGGGGTTTCACCGTGTTAGCCAGGATGGTCTCGATCTCCTGACCTGTGATCTCCCACCCCTCGTGACTCCACCGCGTTCCTCGGCCCTCCCAAAGTGCTGGGATTACAGGCTTGAGCCACCGCGCCCGGCCCAATGAATGAGGCATCTTCCATACCTTTTTTGTTTTGCTGTTTTTGAGACTCTGTTGCCTAGGCTGGAGTGCAGTGGCGCATCCTGAAAAAAAAAAAAAAAAAAAAAAAAAAAAACTGCCAGCCTGGAGTCATGGCCGATCACTGCCAGCGCTCGATCTCCGCCTCACTGGCAGCGTCCAAAAAAAAAAAAAAAAAAAAAAAAAAAAAAAAAAAAAAAAAAAAAAAAAAAAAAAAAAAAAAAAAAAAAAAAAAAAAAAAAAAAAAAAAAAAAAAAAAAAAAAAAAAAAAAAAAAAAAAAAAAAAAAAAAAAATGCAGCTCGACTGCTCCTGGGCCTCCCTCAGGCGATCCTCTGACCTCTGCCTCCCAAGTAGCTGGGATGCAGGCATGTACCACCCCACCCAGCTAATTATTTTTATTTTTATTTTATTTATTTTCTTGTTTGTTTTGAGACGGAGTTTTGCTCTTGTTGCCAAGGCTGGAGTGCAATG